AGTTTTGTTTTTGTGTTTGATTTTTTTTTTCAATTGCTTTTCAATTAAATGGCGAGATGTTAGTTGGTCCAGATAATGTAACTAAAGGAGTTGTAATTTTGTATGTTTCTAGAACTTCTTCATAAGTCTGGAATGATTCACCTTTCTGGTTCATATTACATGTTGAGGTCCCTCGTGATATAGAATCACCGAATGAGTACAAATAAATCTCTTTAGTATACTTTTTGAAATATTTTGAAATGATAGAAATCACTTCTTGATATGGATTTAATCCTTCACTTATCAAATGAAGATTTTTTCCTCCATAAGTTCTTTTTCCCGATTCAACATTGCTCGACGTATAGTCAATTCCAATAAATACAGTTACACCTCTAAGTTATTTGTTATTATTTATTTTAATATTCATTAATTGTTCAAACTTAATATCTTTTTGGTTCAGCTCATTCTCAAGTTGTTCAATACTTTGATATTTTATTTGAAGTATGGAACGATTTGTTGGTGAACTGTGTGTATTTCCCATTTCTTTTTTTCTAGTCTGTTTTTATAAAAACAATTTGTTTATTACAAATTTAGTATTAACAACATCTTTAATCTACAAAAATGAAATTTACTTGATTAAAATTTTTACATAATCATTCTATTAAAAATACTACTAAACCTTTTTCTTTTTTTGAATGTTTAAATAGACTTTTCTATAGTGGGGAAGTACTTTCATTTATCAATTCAACATAAATCAGTATTGGTGAATTTGATTATTTTATTCATTTTTGAGTCGTTTTATTTATTCAGAATTCTTAATTTTCTTAAAAAACAAGAAATATTTTTGAAGTTGAACTTAAAAATAAATAATAAGATTGAAATAAGATTAAAAAAATGAAAAGTGAAAATGAAATGAGTGAAAAAGAGATTGATTACTTCTTAATCATCATCATGTCTTCCTCTAAGTTGGGTGTTAATTTGTTTGGTCATTAATGTTCTCTTGTTTTGTTCTGAAACTCCAATTTGGCATCTGCAATTATTGGTAATTTCTTTGCTCTTGCTGAAATAAATAGCATCAAGAATTTGTCTCATTCTACTTTCGGTTTCTTCAACAAATGTACCAATATTAATAATATGAGAATCCTTTTGAGTAGTAGATAATACCTTTTCATTTTGTCTAGTAAGTGATCCAGCAAATCCAACTTTACCAGTTGCTTCACAGTCTGTTTCCATATAAAGAATTACTGTTGATGTAAGTCTGTATTCTGCTTTTGATGACCCTTTTGGAATAACTTCAATGACATTAATTGAATCCCATGTTCCTTTCATTGGATTTCCTTTCTTACTTTGGTCTGCTGTTTTCTTCATTAAAACACAAACAGCAAATCCATCATCAATATCCCAACAGTACACACTATGAACTCCTCCTTCATAATACATTTCTCTATACATATCAAATGCATCATTTAAACTAATTTCTAATTGTCTCAGTTCATCACTTGGAAGTCCTCCTTCTGGGAATGCTGGGAAATATTTGTTAGAAAATGGTGATCTATATGAATCTCCATCTCTACAATAATCACATATCAAAAATGACTTCTTAGCAGTTGTATCTTCAACAATTTTTAATGGTTGGTCTGTTGCTGAAAGAAGATCATCTGTTAAATCTGGGCAAAGATCTATTAACATTTGAAGATTATCTTCTACCTTTTGTGGGGGAAGTCTTCTCATAAGATCTAAAGCATAATCAAGTGGGTCTGTTTGTGACATGTATTGTACTTTTTCAGTTCTTTTTTAAGTTTCTTCTGTATTTCTCCAACTTTATTAGTTCCTTTCTATTTTTATTTTTCTGTTTCTTTATTTTATAAATAACATTTATCTCAATAACAAAAATATATTTATGATATATTTATCAAAATCTATTTTTTTCAAATTTAGTTTTTGATTAAAATTTTCATTTCTTGGAAAACTTTTGGATTGGAGAATT